GTCTTGTGTATAACACACTTTCAGGCACCTGTCATCCTGAATATGACATGTACTGCCATCCATCTGCTAACCTGAATATAACATGCTGGTGTCTTTTTTGGAGGTGAGTTTTTTTGGAATCCCTACAGTGCAGATGGAAGCCATTCAGCCCATCAAGTCTGCACTGGCTCTCCAAAGAACATCCCATCCTGTTCTTGTAACCCTATGTTTACCACAGCTAACCCACCTACCTTGCACATTGCTGGGCACCATGGGTAATTTAGCATGACCAACTCATCTAACCTGCAAAGCTTTGGACTGTGGGAGGAAACTGGAGCACCTGGAGGAAACCCACACAGATACAGGGCAAACACGAAACTGCACACAGACAGTCACCTGAGGCTGGAATCAAACCTGGGTACCTGGTGCTGTGAGGCAGCAGTGATAACCACTGAGCCCTTTATGTAAAAGTAAAGTCACCATAGTCCTGCAGGGCTGCTTTATCTCATGAGAGAGAGTCAACTGGTGGTGAGTTTAACCTGAGGGCCACATGTCTTAGGCACCCTGAGGGGTGAGGTTGAGAAGACAGGCCTAATATAGTGCCCTAAGCCAGTGTGGGAATTAAACCCTAGCTGTTGGCATCATTCAAAACAGCTATCCAGCAAACTGAGCTAATTGAACGCCTGAGACAACAAGGTGTAGAGCTGGATGAACACAGCAGGCCAAGCAGCATCGCAGGAGCAGGAAGGCTGACGTTTTGGGCCTAGACCGTTCATCAGACCCTTTCTGATCATTTCTGATGAAGAGTCTAGGCCCGAAACATCAGCCTTCCTGCTCCTGTGATACTGCTTGGCCTGCTGTGTTCATCCAGCTCTAAACCTTGTTATCTCAGATTTTCCAGCATCTGCAGTTCCTACTATCTCTAATTGAACGCCTTATCCTTCATATAACATATTAGACTGTGTGATATACACCCCTAACTATTTCCTGTACACGTGCTCCCATTAACTTTTCTGCAGCAATAAACATGTAGATGTACTTTACATACATTTTCCCATCTATTAAACTGTGTGTAGACATTCCCAGTCATAATCTGGTAACATTTCTAGATCTTATCCAAAGTAGAATGCATACCCAATTATCAGTTATCTTTGATTTACTATAAATATTCTCAATAATCCTCCCTGTGGCTCTGCCCTCCTTACACCATATTATGCTATAGTTATCCTCTACATGAAATGTTGTCATTCCCTGTCAGTTTAGCCAATGACTGATGAGCTGAGAACTAAATAAGAAAGAAAACAAGGTGAAGACTAGCAGGTGGCAAGCTGTTGACAGCACCTACACTGCGACAGCCTTCTGTTCCTGATTCCCTGCAAGCAAACACAACAACTCACAAACAAATTCAGAATGTCAGATGCCTTCCAGAGTCCATGTTGTACTCGTTCTGATAAAGGGCTTGTAGAGAGCAGGGTCACTGCATCAATGCATATACAAAGCCTGCACTTTGTCTGCCTGTCAGCAAAGTGCTGTGTGCTTAGCATCACTCAACACTGGCTTGATCACAGCTCCACCTGCTAATCGCAGTTGTTCAAACAATATCCATTCTCCAGTCAATTATACGAAACAAATGCCCCCGTCTTCCTCAAATCTAATTTCTTACTGCAATTTTCTTCTATTTTCTCTTGAGGGTATTGATCCTTGCTGGAACACATATCCTTGGGAACTGAGTGCCTACTACTAACTGGCTGCACTATTTTTTAATTGTGAAATTTATAGTGCTTCTAATCTATTTAAAACTGAGATGCCATGAAAGTTTTTGATTTCCTTGCATTTAATTCTACTCTTTACCCTGCCATTTTGGTGATTCCTCGTAAGTTTATTCCATCTCCCTCAGGAATGTTTCATGATTCTTTATTGATCATTCTGTGCCTAGCATGGGCTCTCCTTTTCCCATCTTTTCCAGTTTTTTCTCTCTATTCAGAGTTCATAATGTTTATTAAATTTTCTTTCCCATAATGTCTTTTGGTCTACCAAGCATGAAAGATCCATTGGTGTAAACTTAGCTCTCTACCCACAGCACCCTTTAGTGTTCTGGCTTCTCATCATAAGATTCTCCTCTGCTCCCAGCCATTGCTAGGACTTGACCTGTCTCCTGATAACTGGGACCAGACTGTGGATGGTACCATGGGATAGTGACAATTTTTTTCCCCAAATATAAAAGAAAGCCGATTTCTTATTAAAAACATTATCAATCTCATCACAGATACCGCGCACAATGGAGACTGAGGAATCCCTGTGCATGCTTAGGGGCACACAACAGCCAGAGGCTGTAGTGCTTGACATATCAGAGCATACAAAATGGATGGAGATGTAGAACCACATGGTACTGGTGCAGAGGTTGGAGGATCTACTTGGTAACAGTGCAGGTTAGCCACTTTGCAATTGGGATGGAGGACCCATTTGGTGCTCGATGCAAGGGAATCAGTTTGTGGTAGGTACATCATGTTGGGAAGCTGGGTCAAACAGGAAACTGCATTAAAATAAATCTTCTGACATTCAATGGAATTTCATGCATCATTACCTAATTGACATTAAAATGAATGTTAAACAGGTCAATGTTAACTGAGGACTTATTGCCCTCAGTTCCCTATGATCTATTGAACCTATAAAGACCTCAACTATCAAGATAATGTTTTCCACTTGTTAGGCTGTTTGTTCGCAAACAGTATATCTCAAAACAAAACTATGGACGGTTTCAGCATAACCTGGTCATCAAGTAGATTGTGGTCCAAGGAAGAATTGATTTTTTTTCTGAAAATACAGATCTAGGTCTGGAATTTTTGAAAGAATCCATTAACATTGGGAGAGAAAGTGAATTGACCTTTTCGTTTAGAATGTTGTGATTGGCTCAGCTGTTGTGTTGGAATTTGTTATGGCCGTCATGACATGAGCAGAGTTTTCACAGCAGGTTGGTGTGTGTGGATTGACCTAAAGCCTCTTCTGTGCGATGGAAGCTTTTAATAAAAAAGATATAGTTTTTCAGCTTTGCCTTACAGAACATTGATGTGGAGGTGCCGGTGTTGGACCTGGGTGGACATGGTCAGAAGTCAGACAACACGAGGTTGTAGTCCAACAGGTTTATTTGAAATCACAAGTTTTCAGAGCATTACCCTTTCGTCAGGTGAAGTGACCTGACTTCACCTGATGAAGGGACAACATCCCAAAAGCTTGTGATTTCAAATAAACCTGTAGGACTATAACCTGGTGTTGTTTGACTTCTGACCTTATAGAATATTAACCAGGCAGAAGAAAGTTTCAAGGACGTGCTGCAAAACTGTAAAAATATTGACCAAACACAGTATGTTAGAGATGTGCACTTCACCCTGTGTCCTTTTCACTTGTGTTTGTGTTGCCAAATGTCACAGTAAAACCATAGGCCACCGAAGAAAAATGGGTCTGACCAACTTGCCAAATTAGCTTTTACCTACTACCATTTGTACAGAGTTACCACGAATCTTTGCACAATATAAAAAACAGCTTTATTGCCTTCCCTTATTGGAGCGGCACATTAGTTCAGTGGTTAGCACTGCTGCTCACACTGCCAGGAACCTGGGTTTGATTCTATACTTGGGGCGACTGTCTATGTGGAGTTTGCACGTTCTCCCTGTGTGTGCGTGGGTTTACTTCCACACTGTAATGACGTCCAGATTCGGTGGATTGGCCATGCTAAATTGCCCATAGCATCCAGGGATGTGCAGGCTCAGTGGTTTAGTCAGGAGGAATGTAGGATTACAGGAATTGGGTGGAATGCTCTTCAGAGGGTCAGTGTGGACTTGATGGGCCAAATGACCTGCTTCCAGACTGTAGGGATTCTATGATTCCCCAACCTCTCTAACCATTGCTATTAATACTTCAACAATATTGATACCCCTGTGCTATCTGACAGGCCATACCTTGACTCAGATCTCTGTTTGGTGGAAAGTAGCTAAATTTGGAAAAGTGAAGAGAAGAATATGTAAACAAGATACTGGAAATCTGAAATAACACAGAAAATGTTCCAAATACTCAGTAGATGTAATTGGCAATAATAGAATCATTATCAACAGATGCTGTCTGAAAAAATTGAAGAGGGGTGTTAATTGAAATTGTTGAACTCAGTTTTGAACCCTGAACAAGGTAAATTGTCTAACGAAAAGATGAGGTGCTGTTCCTCAAGTTTATGGAAAGCTTCATTGAGATGGTGTAGGTTAAAATGAAAGGCAACCAGAAGTTCAATAACACATTTGCAGACTGAATAAGGATTTTGGCAAAGCAATTGTAAAGTCTCCCCAAGAGGGAAGGGACCATAATATGAACAGTGAATACTATATACTACATTCATTTGTACATGTATGTTGCTCTTTCATCTGGAATGTTTATCAGTCTAAGTTCTTTCTTTCATGTAAAAGCTTATAAAACACCTTCTTAGAGAAAAAAAATCAATTAACATTCTCACAGCATTCTAGATTTATGTGGTATGAATGATACTTTCTCACGGTCTCTGTGTTCTTCAAATGAACACTGTTCCCTCTAAAATTCTCTCACTTTTCCCACTAGCGATGATAGATTGAAATTGCTCTTTAGTGTCCCATTATCTTATCTCCTCCAATTTTCTCAAATGCCCTTTCCAAGTGGATATCATCAGGCGTGAAGTAGGGCAATAAGCAGAAGCGGTCTTCACATTGAGCATAATCTAATTCCACTTAAAATCCACCGTATGGTTTCCTGCAGTGCTTATTCGACAGTGATCAGTGGCAGAGCTCATGGCTGGATTTTTACCTTTCCCAGCCCAATGGTACTGAAACCAATTGTACAGCTGTAACTAAAATCTGCTAACAGTGTAGACATGGGATCTAAACCTGTACCCACACTGCTGGTGTAGCTCAATTTCACCCTAATCAGTGCACTCATGAACTGTGTTTACTATAGAAGTGGGTGTTTGTTGTATTTCTAATTGTTCAATCAGAATAAAATAAAAGTAAAATGATATAGACTTTAATTTATATAGGAATATTTTGTTCTATCTTTATTTTGAGTTTGAGTCTGATTTATTGTTGTCACATGTACCAAGATATACGGAAAAGTGTTGTTTTGCATTCTATACAGGCAGATTGTACATTTAAAGTGCATCAGGATAGCAGAACAGAGTGTAGTATAGTGCTACAGCCATACAGACGTGCAGAGAGAGAGATCAGAATTAACATTTGAGAAGTCTGTTCAAAAATCTGATAACAGCAGGGAAGATGCTGTTTTTGAATCTGTTCGTTCACGTATCCAAACTTTTGTATGTTCTGCCCGATGGATGAGGGTGGAAGAGAGTATAACTGGGTGAGACAGGTCTTTGATTATGTTGGTTGCTTTCCCGAGGTAGCAGGAAGCACAGATGGACTCAATGGATGGAAAGCTGGTTTGTGTGATTGACTGGGTTGTGTTCCTTGCAGTCTTGGGAATAGCAGTTGCTACCACGCTGTGATGCATCCACAGAGAATGCCTTCTATGGTGCATCTATAATAATTGGTAAAAGTCTTTGTGGAAATGCCGAATTTCCTTAGCCTCCTGAGGAAGGAGAGAGGTTGTTGTACTTCCTTGACCATCGCATTGACGTGAGTGGACCAGGACAGATTGTTGGTGATCGTCACTCCAAAGAACTTGACACTCTCGATCATCTCCATCTCAGCACCAGTGATGCAGACAGGGGTGTGCCCTTGACTTCACTTCCTGAAGTTAATGACCAGCTCCTTTGTTTTGCTAATGTTGATGGGGAAATTGTCGTCTTTATACCATGCTGCTAAGTACTCAATATTTTTCCTGAAGTCTGTTGTTTGAGATCTGACCTACAGTGATGTCAGCAAACTTGCAAATGGAGTTGGGGCAGAATTTGACTGCACAGTCATGAGTGTATAAGGAGTATCGTATGGGCTGAGTACGCAGCCTTTCGGTAGAGGAGGTGTTGTCACCAATTCTTGGGTGGAAGTCGAGACCTAGGTCCTGAAGTTTAGAGATGAGTTTGTTTGGAATTATGGTGTTGAAAGCGGAGCTGTAGTCAATAAGTTGGAGCCTGACATAGGTATCCTTGTTATCTAGATGTTCCAGGGATGAGTCTAGGATAAGACAGATGGCATCTGCCATGGACCTGTTGCTACAGTAGGTAAATTGCAAAGGATCAAGGCAATCTGTAGTTGATGTGAGCCATAACTAACCTTTCGTAGAACTTCATAATTATGGAGGTCAGAGCCACCAGGTGGTAGCCATTGAGACACACTGCATCATTTTTCTTGGCGTCGGGATGATGGTGGTTTTCATGAAACATGTGGGGACTTCAGATTGTAGTAAGGAGAGGTTAAAGATGTCAGCAAATACTCCTGCCAGCCGATCTGCACAGTATCTGAGTGCATGGCTGGGAATTCCATCCTGGCCGGTCGCTTTCCGTGGGTTCACTCTCAAGAAGGCTGATTTAATGTCTGCAGCGGTGACCGTGAACACAGGTACATATGAGGCTGTTGGGACAAGTAACATTGTTTCACCAACCTTCTAAATTATATAATGTTGGGCAATTTAATTCTGAATTTTACAAGGTCAAATAAATCTAAGAAATGTTTTGTTTGCAGAGTTGTCAATACTCATGAGCCCTGTTATTTGTAAGATTTTGTTAATGATCGTGATTCATGCAGGTAATTTAAACATAGATTTCCAGTTGTTTTCATTTCCCATCTAAATTGCAAGCTTTAAATAAATAGCACTCAAAATGGATTTTTAAATAAATCTGTTCAAACAGCAACACTTAACTCTACTGGCAGTTGTACTTGATTATTGCAAACAACAGAGGCTGTGCAAATCTTTGGAATTCCCAACCTGAAAGTAATGTGGATGCTCAGAATTTAAGTATATTCAAGCCTGAGATTGATAGATTTTTGGACTTTTAAGGGCATTAAGGGAACAGGGGAGCAGGAGTAAGTCATTTGGCCGTTCAAGCCTGCTCTGTCAGCTGAATATTCTTGTTTGCAGTCCACAACACTCAATTTCCTTGCCCGTAAAAAATCTATCTATTTCAGCCTTGAATAAATATAGGGACAACACCAAACTCCACCCCTTCTGGGGAACCAGCTTTCACCCAGTAACAATTGTTAAAGATATAGGAATCAGGCAGAAAAGCGGAATTGAGGTTCAGGATTAGCCATGATTTAATTAAATGGTACAGCAGATTTGAAGGGCCATCTCGTCTATCCCTGCTCCTATGTCTGTGTCATATAAGGAATGAAATACAGCAGCTATTTTGCACACAACAAAGGATCTACAAACAGCAACCTGATAATGATGAGGACATTTACTAGACTGATAACTGGTATGAACGGGTCGCCTTATGAGGTACAACTGGAAAGGCTGAGCTTGTTTTCACTAAAGTTTAGAACAGTGAGCGGTGATTTAATTCAAGTTTATAAAATCCTGAAAGATGGACATGAAAAGGATGTTTCTGCTTGTGGGTGGGTTCAGGGCTGTTTTAAAATTAAGGGCCACCCTTTTAGGATAGAGATGAAGGAAGATTATTTTCTCCCAGAGGATTGTACGACTCTGGAATGCTGCCTCAGCAGGCAGTGGAGGTAGGGTTGTGGTCGAGTGGCCAATTGCCTAAGCAACTAAGCTCAATATAAAATTGGATAAACAGTTTCTGCAAGCAAGGCCTGATGGAATGCAGAGGCCAAGGTTATCATAAGTCAAAAGCAAACAAGGATCAGCCCAGAGATAGTAGGAACTGCCGATGCTGGAGAATCTGAGATAACAAGGTGTAGAACTGGATGAACACATCAGGCCAAGCAGCATCAGAGGAGCAGGAAAACTGACGTTTCGGGTCTGGACACTTCTTCAGAAAAATCAGCAGAAGGATCAGCCTAGACTTGTACTGCATATTGAACAGAGGTCGTTGACATTAACAACAGAGATAGACATTACGTTTGTGTATTCCCCAGTTTCAGCCAGACCCCTCAGCACCATGGACTAAACATATCTTGGAAAGGGGATGGGTACACTTAGAATGGCCTGGCCTAACCTCAATGGATACTGTGACCCCTGTCCTGTGAACTCATTGGCTGAAGTCAGAGAACATTCCAGAAGGGCTTGAAATTGGAGGACAACAAAGGTCACCTGCTAGCCATTCCCTCAGCAAAGACTCGGCTGGAGAAGATTTGGTGTGAAAGCTATCTTCATGCCAAGAAGACCCTGAGTGCCTGTCAATGGAGTTCAGTGAATTGGATCCAGCAGCTCAATCAAGTCCACTGAAGCAGGTAGTATATGTGTTTATCAGGCAGTCAGCCTAGTTTGGGAAAAGTTAACTTAATCTGTGTAAGAGTTTTTTTTTAAAATTGTGAGTGTTTTAATAAAACTAAGTTAGAAGCACAGTCCTTTGTCTGCCTCACAGTAAGAGTGCCTGTGTTTTATGAGTAATAAACTGGTCCAAGAGTCTGTATAGAATATTTCACAGGCAACATTTTGGCATCCCCTGGGTCGTCTTCAATAAAAAGTAACCCTAAGTTGCTCTGGATTTTCAAGAATCCATCCTGAGCCTGATTTAAGAGGGCAGCTGCTCCACGTGATGGCCAGGATTCAAGTGGGTGAACAAGGACAGAGACAATTGACTAGTGATTGTCCATAAACCAGGTGGTTTGAAAAGTGACACAAACAAACTGCATGATTTGAAGCTTGGTTAGTTAAGGATATTGGTAAACTTGAGTATTTTTTTCCTTTATTCATTCATGGGATGAGGGTGTCGCTGGCTAGGCAGCATTTAATTGCCCAGAGGGTAGTTAAGAGTCAAACACATTGCTGTGGGTCTGGAGTCACATGCAGGCCAGACCAGGTAAGGATGGCAGTTTCCTTCCCTAAAGGACATTACTGAACCAGATGGGTCTCCCCCCCCAACAATTGGCATCATTAGATTATTAATTCTAGCTTTCTGTTGCACTCAAATTCTACCATCTGCTGTGGCAGCATTCGAACCCAGAGCTCTAGAACATTACCTGGGTTTCTGGATTAACAGTCCAGCACTAATACCACTAAGCCATCATTTCCCCACAATATATTCAATTCCGTAATACTGCTGAGTACCAAATTACTCCCAACAAAATATACTTGTGAACTCCACCATTTTGTGGAACTCAGTCTCTTCGGTCAGACTCTGGTACTATTGGGATAATTATAACTGTCCTTGGATAACAGAGCTTTGGCAGGAAATGGCTTTTGAATTTTGGCCAATATCTGATTCTATTTGGAGAGCGATGACTATATTTATGTATTGTGTCCCCAGCTATTTAAGCCTGTCATAAGTTAAGGCACTATACAGTATAAGTGAGGGGAAGCTGAATTAAAGGTATAGTTAGTGTTTATAAAAGGCCTATCCTTCCCTAAAGGACATTAGCAAACCAGATAGAATTTTTCCCAACAACTGATTCACAGTCATCATTAGACTCTTAATCCCAGATATTTATTGAATTCAAATTCCACCATCTGCCATGGCAGGATTCAAATCCAGGTCCCCAGAATGTTACTTAACAAGGTGTAGAGCTGGATGAACACAGCAGGCCAAGCAGCATCATATCTGGGTCTCTGGATGAACAGTCCAGCAATAATACCTCTAGGCCATCACCTCCCAGCCATGAGAAAGGTTAAGAGCAATCTGTTGGAGTTTCAGAGGGGTGAGACACACTTTTCTGAGACACCTTAGACTTGGAGGGACTGGAATGGAAATTTAGTGAAAGCCAGACTCTGAATTTAGTCAACACGGTGTAGAGCTGGATGAACACAGCAGGCCAAGCAGCATCATAGGAGCAGGTGGGAGATGGGGGTGGGGCTTGAGGTGGGAGGAGGGGATAGGTGGGAGGAAGGACAGGTTAGGGAGGTGGGGGCGAGCTGGGCTGGTTTTGGGATGCAGTAGGGGGAGCAGAGATTTTAACAAGCTTCAAAATTTCCCCTCCTACCTACTAACCTCATTCCGCCCCCTTGACCTGTCCATCCTCCCTGGACTGACCTATCTCCTCCCTACCTCCCCACCTACACTCACCTTTACTGGCTCCATCCCCGCCTCTTTGACCTGTCTGTCTCCTCTCCACCTATCTTCTCCTCTATCCATCTTCTATCTGCCTCCCCCTCTCTCCCTATTTATTTCAGAACCCCCTTCCCCGCCCTCATTTCTGAAGAAGGGTCTAGGCCCGAGACGTCAGCCTTCCTGCTCCTATGATGCTGCTTGGCCTGCTGTGTTCATCCAGCTCTACACCATGTTATCTCAGATTCTCCAGCATCTGCAGTTACTACTATCTCCGAATTTAGTCGACTCCCTAATCTTTGTGACAAACCCTAGAGAGAGAATAAAGTGGCAAGAAAGCTGAATATAGGGTCAGGAACCCATGAGAGACAGAGACAGAAAGAGACAGAACAGTAAGTTAACACAGAACAATAAGAGAAAATGACACAGTGTCCAGTGTGTGGGAAGAAGTACCAAGAAAGTACCTAAATAAAAAGGGGCCCAGGTTGGCCGAGACTGCATTAAACCAATATCAGATCCGAACTCGCAGGACAGAAATGTTAGGAGGCGGTGCAGGAAGGTGAAGGGAAGCACACTTTAAACCTGTAGCGATAGCCAGCTGCATGGAGAAGGTGAAGCTCAGTACGGAGCTGGAGGAAGTGAAGCAGGAATCGGAGAAAGAAAGAGTCAGAGGAGCCAAGTGAATTTATTAATCATGGGCCAGTTACCGACCCAGTGTCTGTCAAAAAGTTTATCAGGAAGTACAACATGCAATTAGTGACTGTGATAAAGCCCCAAAAGCTGCGGCCAATTATCAGAAAAATACACAGATTTACAGGTCGCGTTCAAAGTCCTGCACCAAACAGGCAAAGAAAATAGAGCTTCTGCTGCGGACCAATCTAAATGCCAACACGAGATTAATAAAGTGTCAGCTTTCAGCACAGAAAGGACTGATACGTTCATTTGGAACAATAGAGTCAGAAGGGGAAAATGCTTATGGGGTAGACTGGGGGCGGGATGTCGGGGAATGTGGGAACAGGTTTGCGGGTACGCCGAGCGTGGCAATGACTGGGGATCCCTCCGCACCCTAGCATCTCACCCTGCCCCGTTGAACCCTCTGCCAACAATCCGCCAGGATGGCCGAAATAATGAAAATCATTCCACATATTCAACCCAATTCACTGTAGCACAATTGGCTAACATAGCAAAAAAAAGTTCCCTACATTTGAACCCTTTGCTAACCCCTATATGTTCTTTGAGAATATCCGCTAACAAAGAGTTTTACGCGGGATGATAAGGAAGAAAAAGGAAATACAAAACTAATATTCATGTGCCTGAGCCCCGTAGTTCATTCTGCCTGACCTTTTCCCCAGAATGTAGGGAGAGGGCAGCTCCAGGACACGAAAGTAGAGATTTTCGTAGCAGTCGGCTACAATAGAGGAAAAGCAGTTGAGAGTTAGTGAAGGCAGCAAAAGGGAGAACACC